GCCCAAATCCCATTCTGACTCGGGGGTCACTCCTCACCTGCGGGCCAGTTCCGCCGCGCTCTCCGCCGTCGCGCCGTTGACCAGCAGGGACACGCTGGTCACAGCTCCGGCCAGGAAGGCCTCCACGATGCCCTCATCCCGCCGCGGGCAGTACCCAAAGTCGTCCGCAGTCACCACCAGCCGCACGCGCGGCCAAGCCATCCCTCAGCCAGAGCGCGCGGCTGGGGACCTGATGGGAGTGAACCGGACAGTCCAGGCTCCGCCCCGAAACGCAGCCCCAGGCCCCTCCCCGACGCCCACACCCGGACGCGTCCCCACTTCGCCTTTGTTCTTGCCACCTAGTGGTCCCGCCGTGGCCCTGCAACGACCTCCCGCCTCCCGCTGGGCTCCAAACCAAGCAGACCACGGCCAGGGCTAGATTGATTGCAACGCGACACTTTCAGCGACTGCAAAAATAACATTTAATATGAAACACGCAGAAGAGAAAGCCTGAAGAAAGAAATCTCTTACCCTTCCCCGAGATTACTACTGTCAATTTTCTGGGTACAGCGTCCTTCAAGTATTTTCGCTAAGCAAATAGACACACCTAATTCCTCTTCTCTCCTTCCCCAAGTTTTGAGAAATAATGATCACATCAATGTTATCTCATTTTTGTAATGTTTCATTTTTAAAAAAAATGTTTTTTATTGATTTCAGAGAGAGGAAAGAGAGATGGAAACATCAATGATGAGAATCATCAACCAGCAGCCTCCTGCTTGCCTCCTACTTGGGGATCGAGCCCGCAACGCAGGCATGCGCCCTGACCGGAAATGGAACGGGGACCTCCAGGTTCATAGGTCGAGGCTCAACCACTGAGCCACACCCGTCAGGTTGTATGTTTCATTTTTCATAGTGACTATGAACTTTTCCATATTTTTATTAGCTCTTTATGTGTCTTCTTTTTCTTTTTTCTTTTTTTAAATTTATTTTATGTGTCTTCTTTTTCAAACTGCCTGTCTTTTACTGATTTTTTTTTGAATGGCTTTTGTGTGTGTGTGTGTGTGTGTGATTTGTAAAAGCTCTAAACAATAAAATGAAAGAAAACATGTAATAGGAGTTAGGGATTGAGGTGCTTACCCCTAATCTCTAATATTTCTAGTACCACTCATAGTATTAGAATAGATGCTCAGTGAATTTCAATTTCCTTCTTCCAGTCTTTTTTTTTTAAATATATTTTATTGATTTTTCGCAGAGAGGAAGGGAGAGGGATAGAGAGCCAGAAACATCGATGAGAGAGAAACATCGATCAGCTGCTTCCTGCACACCTCCTACTGGGGATGTACCCACAACCAAGGTACATACCCTTGACCAGAATCGAACCCGGGACCCTTCAGTCTGCAGGCCAACGCTCTATCCACCGAGCCAAACCGGCTACGGCTCCTTTTTTTCTTTGTGGTTCAGAGACGCTTTCCTTACCCATGACTGTACAAATAATCACATGGTTGATAACCAGGGTTTTCATTATGATGTCTTGATTTTCCCAATGGAAGTGCAGCATTTGTGTTCTGCCTATGACATTGATAATGTCATTTCCGTTTACCAATCTGTTTTATAGATGAAGGAACTGAGGTTCAGAGAAGGTTAGTTTCTTCCCAAAGTGACCCTGCCAGGAGTAGTGGAGCGGGGACTACCTCCGGAGCTCTGAGCCTGCATCTGCATATGCTCTGGTCCTTTAGACCCTGGCTGCCCCTAGTTCAGGGGCCGAGAGGAAAGAGCTGAGCTAGAGAATAACAAATGATACCAATTTCTGTGAGGGCACAGTACGAAGTGGAGGCCTCAAAGAGCTCACTGAGCTCTTGGCATAAGGACTGACTGTTGTGTTCAAACATGATTATTAAATCATCAGACCTCACCCTAGCCAGTGTTGCTCAGTTGGTTGAGCATTTTCCCGAGCACGGAGAGGTCCCAGTTTGATTCCGGTCTCGGCACATGCCCCAGTTGTGGGTTCAATCCTCAGTAGGGGGCATTCAGAAGGCAGCCAATTGATGTTTCTCTCTCCACCTCCCTGTAAAGTCAATAAAAACATACTTTATTTTTTTAAAAAAATCATCAGACCTCAATCAACCAGCATTCTCCACTAGGAAACTGATCCTGGAAAAGCCAAAGGTCTTTGAGTGTCTAAAGACTGGAAGAAGGAGCCCTAACCGGTTTGGTTCGGTGGATGGAGCGTCCACCTGCAGACTGAAGGGTCCCAGGTTCGGTTCTGGTCTAGGGCATGTACCTTGGTTGCGGGCACATCCCCAGTGGGGGGCATGCAGGAGGCAGCTGATCGATGTTTCTCTCTCATCGATGTTTCTGGCTCTCTATCCCTCTCCCTTCCTCTCTGCGAAAAATCAATAAAATATATTTAAAAAAAAAAGACTGGAAGAAGGAAATTGAAATTCACTGAGCATCTATTCTAATACTATGAGTGGTACTAGAAATATTAGAGATTAGGGGTAAGCACCTCAATCCCTAACTCCAAGGAGTGCCGCCTGGTAAAGTGTGGCAGAATCTGGAATGGGGTTTGCCATCATTTCTGTTGGAGAAGGAAGGGTGAGCCTTTTGGGGAGGCTTCTCTGAGAGGTGACACCTGGGAAGGGGGCTGCATGAGGAGGAGTTTATCAGGCAGAGGGGTAGAGGAGATAAAGATATATGGGGATCTTATGGGGTGTCGGGTGTGTTGTATGAAAATGTAATCTCCAGCCTTAACCAGTTTGGCTCAGTGGATAGAGTGTCGGCCTGCGGACTGAAAGGTCCCCGGTTCGATTCCCGACAAGGGCATGTACCTTGGTTGGGCCCATCCCCAGTAGGAGGTGTGCAGGAGGCAGCTGATTGATGTTTCTAACTCTCTATCTCTCTCTCTTCCTCTCTGTAAAAAATCAATAAAATATATATTTTTTAAAAAGAAAATGTAATCTCCATATTCCCTGCGGAAGGACATTCAATTCCCTTTATAAAGGAGGAGCAGAGATCATAGCGGTTGAGTCCACAGGCAGGAAACGACAGAGCTGGGAATGGACGCTAGACCTGTGACTTAGAGCAGGGACTCTCCTCTGCGCTCAGGGAGACTGCAGACGGGAGAGGGCTCCAGACGGACCTTGGGATTGTTCACAAGGGAGGACACTGGAAAGAAGAGCCGGAGGCCCAGGGCGACGCAGGGACCCGATGGGAGCCGAAGAATGTGCTTGTGTCACTAGAGACTTTGACTTTGCCCCTTAGGCTCGCTTCCCTCGGGGCAGATAAAGGAGTGGGGATCAGAGCCGCTCACTCCTGGCTCCCTGGCTCCCTGGCTCCCTGGCTCCCTGGCTCCCTGGTTCCCTGGCTCCGAATGCGGGAGTGACAGAACTGGATGAATTAGGGGAGGGGCCATCGTGGGCCCCGCCCACAACCTTTGTGTCGGGGGAGCTGGAGAAAGAGCGCCGGTTGAGAGCCAATCAAGATGCCGCATGTAAATGACCCCGAGGGGCGTTCTCCGAGCGACTCCAGAGCAGTGTCGCTGCCCCGCAGCGGGCGCAGATCGCACTGCCTGGCGCTATGCGAGGCGCCAACTTTGGTGAGTCGGGGAGTTCGGCCACGGACAGACGCCCGGGCGCCCGGGGTCTGGGAGGGGCGAGGATTGGAGATGGTCAGAGTCAGGATGAGGACGTCCTCGGGGACCCCAACCCCAACGGTTCCGGACACGGATGTGTATGCGGACGCCCAGGGGTCTCCGAGCAACCTCAGGGCCAGACCTCTGAAGGACTTGGGGTGGGGGGAGCGAGGGACCTGTGGACCCGGGGCCACTGACGCAGTGTCCTGCAGAGGGACGGAGACTCGAACCTATGGAAGCCTGGGGAGAAACTCACGCCTTCTCCCCGCCCAATGCGGAGAGGCAGCCGCGGCCGCACGGCAAAACGGAAGAGAGAGGACGGCTGGCAGCCGACCGGTGCACCCACATCATGAACACCTGCCGCCACCACTCCGGATACCTGGCGGACGATGAGGCCGGCCACATCACGTACCGGGCCCGGGTAGGTGTGCCCGGGAGGGCCTGACTCTGAGGCCCGGCCCCATAGGTCCCTCGCCAGCCCCAGTGCCCCAGATCACAACACCCCTTCCTCATTTCCACTGCGCTGACCCCCTGCTGGGCCCTAGTCACCCTCAATTGCTTTTTCTTTTTAAAAATATATCAGCACATAGGTATTTTAAAACACATTTTTATTGATTTCAGAGTGGAAGGGAGAGGGAGAGAGAGATGGAAACATCAATGATGAGAGAGAATCATTGATCGGCTGCTGGCCTCCTGCACGCCCCCTACTGGGGATGAGCCCACAAGCAGGCATGTACCCTGGCGGGGAATCAAACCCTGACCTCCTGGTTTGTAAGTCGTGGCTTAATCACTGAGCCACGCTGGCCAGGCACCCTCACTTTCATCCTACGTCCCGCTGACTTCCAGTGGCCTGGGAGGAGCTCAGTAGACTGGGGCCCAGAGTGGGATCATGGGGTCTATTCAAGGCTTAGGACTCTAGTTGCAGAAGTAGCCGTGGGGTGTGCAGGGCTCAAGACCACAGGTGGTCTGTACAGCCCAGCAGTGGAGCAGGACAGACAGATGAGGAGCCCAAGTGGGAGTCAGAGGGTTTTGTGATCACCCACTCACTCCCTGTGGGAGGGCAGAGGTGGGCTTTCAGATACCCTTGTGCCCACAGTCATACAGCCTGAAGGTGGCAGAACCAGGGCCTAAACCCAGGGCTCTAAGCACAGTTCCTTCCGCTGCCCACCCAGCACCTGGTGCTTTAGAAGGACCCCCGGGACCCCTCCTGCTCTGGGGCATTCCTGATCACTGTGACATGCCTTTCTGCTCAGGTGCAGCCGCCTAAGAAGCCACCGTTCCTGAAAGTGGAGCAGTCCTCCAATCTGGGCCATGTGCCACACCCACCGTCAATGTATGGCCCCTCTGGCAGCTCAGGGCTTCGCAGCCACCGTGGGAGCACGAGGGACCCTCGGCCCTTTGGCAGTTTCCTGGATTTCCTTGTGGAGGGCCAGGTGCTAGAGAGCCTGCAGAGGGTGGTGGAGGAAGCAACTGAGCGCATGGCTACCATGAAGACAGAGACTGGGGCGCCACTGGTGGATGTGCAGGACCCAGTGGAGATGCCGAGGGGTGGGCGACGTGTGCGTGCCCGGCCCAGCTTCAATACTGTGCACCGGCACCATGTCCAGCCCAGCCTCTGCATCGGGCACCCCAACAACTACCCATCCTGCTCCAGCTCCATGTCTGACTCACATAGCAACGCCACAGTCGGCTACCCGGGTTCCCATGGCCGGGACAGTGACCTGGGCTACCGTGGCCTAGGCCCACTGCCACCCATAAGGGACAAACTACTGCAGGAGAAGAGCCTCAAACGGCTGCTGCGGCTGGAGAACAGAGGGGTAAGATGTAGGGCCATGGCCTGGGGTGGGGAGGATGGAGCCCAGCCCAGAGCTCAGGGTCAAGCCTGGCTTGGCTGTTCCTGGACACCTCTGAGAATCCCCCTCTCTCTTCAGAAACGCCTGCCCTGCTCCCAGGGGGATGCCCTGCTGTGGGACTCACTGGGCTCAAGCTTGGGCACGCCGGAAGCATCAGAGCTGGGGATTGGCGAGAGAGAG